ATCCCCCCATCCCATGGCCACCACTGTGTCACCCCAAGGCCACCATTTTGTCACCCTTTAGCCACCATCCTTTCATCTCATGGCCACCACCATCCCACCACTCCATGGCCACCACCATGTCACCCCATGGCCACCATCTTGTCACCCCATGGCCACCACCCTGTCACCCCATGGCCACCACCATCCCAACATCCCATGGCCACCACCCTGTCACCCCATGGCCACCATCCCACCACTCCATGGCCACCATCCTGTCACCCAAGGCCACCATTTTGTCACCCTTTAGCCACCATCCTGTCACCCCACGGCCACCGTCCCATCACCTCATTGCCACCACAGCCACCACCCTGTCACCCCAAGGCCACCACCCTCTCACCTTATGGCCACCATCTTGTCACACTGTGGCTGCCACCGTGTCACCCCATGGCCACCATTCTATTCTACCATCCCATGGCCACCACCTTGTCACCATGTGGCCACCACTGCGTCACACCCCATGGCCACCCCCTTCCCTTCCCAGGTCCCACCCCACTGTCCCCATTGTCCCCAATGTCCCAATGGCCCCATTGACCCCATTGACCCCACTGTCCCCATTGTCCCCATTGTCCCCATTGTCCCAATGGCCCCATTGACCCCATTGACCCCACTGTCCCCATTGTCCCCAGTGTCCCCATTGACCCATTGTCCCCATTGGCCCCGTTGTCTCCCCATGGCCCCATTGACCCCATTGGCCCTGTTGACCCCCCTGTCCCCGTTGCCCCAGTGTCCCCACTGACCATGTCATTTTCATCCCCAATGCCATTGTCCCCACTGTCCCCATTGTCCCCAACCACCCCAATGTCCCCACTGACCACTATGTTACTTTTGTCTCCATTGACCCCATTGACCCCATTGACCCCACTGTCCCAATGACCCCAATGGCCCCATTGACCCCGTTGACACCATTGACCCCATTGACCACAGCATCCCCATTGATCCCATTGTCCCCAATGTCCCCATTGTCCCCAATGGCCCCACTGACCCCATTGACCCCATTGACCACAGCATCGCCATTGTCCCCATTGACCCCATTGACCCCAATGTCCCCATTGTCCCCAATGGCCCCATTGACCCCATTGACCCCATTGACCCCATTGACCACAGCATCCCCATTGTTCCCATTGACCCCACTGTCCCAAATGTCCCATTGTCCCTCATTGACCCCATTGACCCCACTGACCCCATTGATCTCATTGACCCCAAAGTCCCCATTGTCCCCACTGTCCCCATTGTCCTAATTTTCCCCATTGATCCCATTGACCCCACTGACCCCATTGATCCCATTGACCCCAATGTCCCCATTGTCCCCAATGTCCCCATTGACCCCAATGGCTCCACTGACCCCATTGACCACAGCATCCCCATTGTCCCCATTGTCCCCATTGACCTCAATATCCCCACTGTCCCCACTGTCCCCTCTGTCCCCTCTGTCCCCTCTGTCCCCTCTGTCCCCATACCCTTCAGCTTCTCCAGTTGTATGGTGGCTTTCTGGGCTCCCTGCTCCTTCCACGTGGCCACCTCTCCTCTCACCGTGGCCACTTCTTCTCTCACTGCGGCCACCTGGTCCTGCATTGTGGCCACCTCCTTGTGCCACATGGCCACCTCTTCTCTCATCGTGGCCACTTCTCCTCTCACTGCGGCCACCTGGTCCTGCATTGTGGCCACCTCCTCGTGCCACATGGCCACCTCTCCTCTCACCGTGGCCACTTCTTCTCTCACTGCGGCCACCTGGTCCTGCACTGTGGCCACCTCCTTGTGCCACCTGGCCACCTCTCCTCTCCCTGTGGCCTCTACTCCATTCACTGCGGCCACCTGGTCTTGCACTGTGGCCACCTCCTTGTGCCACATGGCCACCTCTTCTCTCATCGTGGCCACTTCTTCTCTCACTGGGGCCACCTGGTCCTGCATTGTGGCCACCTCCTTGTGCCACATGGCCACCTCTCCTCTCCCTGTGGCCACTTCTCCTCTCACTGCGGCCACCTGGTCCTGCATTGTGGCCACCTCCTTGTGCCACATGGCCACCTCTTCTCTCACTGTGGCCTCTACTCCATTCACTGCGGCCACCTGGTCCTGCATTGTGGCCACCTCCTTGTGCCACCTGGCCACCTCTCCTCTCCCTGTGGCCACTTCTCCTCTCACTGCGGCCACCTGGTCCTTCACCTCTTCGTGCCACATGGCCACCTGTCCTCTCACCGTGTCCACCTCCTCCTTCCACGTGGTCACCTCTCCCTTCAAAGTGGCCACCTCAGCCCTCAGTGTGGCCACCTGCTCCTGCCACATGGCCATCTCGTCCTGTACCGTGGCCACCTTTCCTCTCACCGTGTCCACTTCCTTGTGCCACGTGGCCACCTCTCCTCTCACCACGGTCACCTCCTGCCTTGTGGCCACCTGGTCCTGCACCACGGTCACCTCCTTCCACCATGTGGCCACCTCGTCCTGTACCACGGCCACCTCTCCTCTCACCACGGCCACCTCTTCCTGCCACGTGGCCACCCGGTCCCCCACCGTGGCCACCTCCTTGTGCCACGTGGCCACCTCCGTCCTCAGCGTGGTCACCTGCTCCTGCCACGTGGCCAGCTCGTCCTGCACTGTGGCCACCTGTCCTCTGACCGCGGCCACCTCCTTCCACCACGTGGCCACATCTTCCTGCCACGTGGCCATCCGGTCCCGCACCGTGGTCGCCTCCTTCCTCCACGTCTCCACCTCAGTCCCCAGCGTGGCCACCTGCTCCTGCCACGTGGCCAGCTCGTCCTGCAGAGCCGCAGCCCTGGTGGTTGCGGTGGCCGCCTGGGCCCTGGCGGTGGCCAAATCTCGCTCCATTTGCCCCCATTGGGCCACCTGGCCGGCCTGCAGCGCGCCCAGCTCCTCCTGCAGCGTCCCCAGCTCCGCCTGCAGCGTCCCCAGCGGGGCTGGGGGGAGAGGGG